ATTTCACCACCATCTCCATTTACTACATAAACAGTATCGTTTTTATCAATAAAAAGTGCAATAGGATGTTTCCCAACAATAGATTCATTAGCAAAAGGAATACCCACAGAATTCCATGTTGGTAATGGGCAAAATTGAGGTTGATAGTAGGAAATAACTAAAATCAAACGCCAAACCTATTTATATTTCATAGTGTTTGTAGTTAAAAGATGCTTGCATTCTGTAACAGCATATATAGAAAGCCCATTTCTCCGGACGAGTGTAACAAAACTTATACTTGCCTAAAACTTCGTGAACAATACTGAACAGAATCATGACCAGAATCTGAGGATTATACTTTGCCATTCTGAATAATATTCACAACGAAACCTTATCAGAGTTTATGACAGATCGGATGCGAGGATCTTTTTTTTCTTTTTGTTAGTCAATCTAGCCTTTTTCTCATAATAAAACAATGTGATAAAAATCAGATGAGAGTTGTCTCACGCTCAGACAATAAATAAAGTATTGACGTCGATGATCAATATTCCACCATGACATGTATAGGCTGTGTAGCTAATGCGCCGTCCAATCTCAGATATTTCTCTAATACAAAGATTGGATGTTTTTTAGCACATTTGATAATATTTTCTGTATCGAAAGACATGGATGAGTATGAGCGCAGCACTGTCACGTGCTTTGACATACGCTATAGACAATTTTCCTACGAAACTGGAATGACTCTATAAGTTCTCTAATGTTTCTTTTCTTTTCTTATTTGATTTGAGAAACATGACAATAGAATTAAAGGATAAAAATCATGAAATTTGGCTCTATGTGTAAAACATGTCTAAGAGATAAATAAAGTATTCATACAGAAAAAAGTCAATAGACTGTTGTCGTCAGTCATGTTTAACTGATTTTGGGGCGATTTATTTTCATGATATTTCCTATTTGGAAATGAACTCAGTTGACAGAAAAACATGTCTTGCTCTTATTTGTTCACCTTATTATTCGAAGACAAAATAGCCCGTATAAAATGTGGGACATCAGAATCCGATTTTTGTGACGATGCAGTAGAATCAATACTCGATGAATCGTCGTCTATAGAATCGTAGATTTCATCAAAAACTTGATTCAGATTCATTTCCGGTATTAGCCGTTGAAAGTAAACATTGTGCCGCATGACGTCATTGAGACGATATACAATTGAAATGCATGTTTCATCACTAAGTTCAACAACAGAGTTCCTAATACGGTCGCGCAAATGTTCAGGTAAATAATATCCTCGTCGACCTTCCAATGCAGCACAGATAAGACTGTGCACGATCGATTGACTTGGAGAGCAACGATGAAAGATTTCCACATAGCGACGAACGTCATCATCATGTTCATATTGCCATAACCATTTGAAAATAGTGTCGGACGAAAGAGCAGCCACTCGTGCATCGATATCGGATTTCTGAACATCATGCCCTACCTCAAGATTGATGCCAATAACGACAATATATTTTGCTTTCACTTCGTCTGTAGATAAAAGATCAACAGCACGTGCATGTGATATATCTTCAACAGGAGTTCCTATAAAACAATACATAAGAATAGTATTAAAGTAACACTACGTATTTACCTAATTCTAGTTCGTTGCCCGTTAATAAAACATCCGATCCTCCATCAATTAAGGCCAATTCATCAATACATCGTCCGTGTATCAGATGTTTATAAGCTTCGACAATTAATTCAATGCGTGTTGCCGTATAATCGCATAAGATTGCGTAAATAGGTACTTGAAGTTCGTTCGCGAGACGCTGTTCAGGGAAATAAACGTCATCAGTTAGCCATGCTATATTCGCTTGAGGATCAACGCGAAAAAGCACTGTTGTTACTTGCTCGCTATGCTGAGTTAAGAGCGCCAATTTGGTAAAAGTATAGTTGATAAGTGTTATATCATAGTCTCCAGAAGCTTTCAGTTTGAAATAATAGGGTAAACAGCCAAATACATCGTAGCCACCTCCGCAACCTGCTAGAAAAATTGTTTTGGATGTTTGACTCGTCATGGTATCTTACTAAACAACAACGTGCAGAATTCGTATAATATATTGCTCGTTTCTAACTCAGTAAGAACACAAAATGCAAATACAAACGTTCTTTCACCAGTATTACTGACTCATTATTTTTTCAATTCTTAATGTCGGTAGTAGAAAGAAGAAAAATGAATAAATTACCGACAGCGCTCGTTCTTATTTTTATTAGTCATCGTATTGCATCATTTCAGTATAACTCAATACTTTCTTGTGATTGCCAATATTAAGTCAGTGTTGTTGATATGCTCGTTTGGTTATAATAGCTTTGACGTCAGTGGAATTGAAGTGCTAAGTTTGTTTAATAATTATCATGAATATTAAAATAAAGTTGTTGAAATGAAATTACTTTTGTCGGGAAATGTCCTGAGAATGAGTTTTTTTATGCGTTCCACGTATAAGACTTTTGTTCTACTCGTTAACATCCATAATATATGGTGATACAATGAATGCTAAAGTATTAATTCGATGGTTTTATGAAACGATATTTACTTACAATCTTTTCATACCTGAGGAAAATGAAGAAGGAGATCATGTGCCAACGACTATTCAACATCAAAGATATGCAACCAGACTTTATGTTCTTCTTTTGATTTGTAAGTGTACACTGCTGAAGATAATGATTATAATCGAATGACTTCTCCATTTTCATAGTGGCTATGTACATTATCTTCTTTACAGTTTTCGTTTATCCACAAACAGAAACAGTAACAATTTTGCATATTACTCCATCGTTATTCAATCAGCTTCGAAGTGATCACGGTGAAACACTTTCATGTCCATGTTCGACAACTTTCATAGCATACGAAAACTTTGTTCTCAACAATCTATCCATAGATCCACTTTGTTCAAGTATTTTCGTTAGTGAACAGTGGATACAATCATTATATGTGCCAGTTGCTAGTTCTTTTCTCATGATGGACTTTCGAACAACAGCTTACTCTCAAGTAAGTTGCATCATTTTGCCTCCTTATATCATCAGGATAGAGTGTGTTTTCAAATTTATGTAGTTTAAATTACTTGCAGCATTTTGTATACTTGCTCAAGAGATGATTTCTCAAGTTCTTACCGATATCGACCATCAACAATTGGTCAGCATTGAACTTTTAACAAACGATAATGTTCAATCTCAAGTCGCCGAAAATATCAAACTTATGCGAGCCAATACATACGTACAGATGAGTTCCTCTCTAACTTTCATGCGAATCATAGCTCGATCCAATTCGTTAATCTCTGCGCTGAATACCAATGCACATTTTTCCATAACGGCAATGGATAACGAAACATTTTTGCTCGCTATAGATTCTACAGTTTACTATCGTAAGAATATGCCGATGTTTGTCTATACAAAAGGTATATACAGTTGCAATTTGGTAAATTCAATTGTACCTACTGGCTTCTACTCAATACCATATGGCGCTCGCAATATTTATGATAATTATTGGCCCGACACTCCGTTATCTTCTACATCTTTCAATATTTCTAACGTTATCGATGGATACTTCAGCGGTTGTACTGTACTCGATGGCCTATTCGTTAGTACATTGGATTGCTTGTACAGTCCCCAATGTCTCGAGCAATTAACAAGTTACTTTCCCGACTTAAACCAAACTTTTAATTTCACCAATTCGCACCTATCACCGAATCATCAGAGTAGTTCTTTTTATGAACGTCTATCTGACCTCTTTATCCGCAACTGGTCATCAACAATCAACTATTCGAAATATTTTAACAATTGCGCACCTCTTCTCTGCACATTTACGGCCACCAATCAAGCCAGTCTATCCTATACTATTATTTTCCTACTTAGTTTATACGGCGGCTTAGCCATTATATTCCGTTTGATCGCACCCATTTTGATTCATATTTTACTAACATTTAAAATTCAGGCACCACCAATTCAAGAGACCCTTCAGTGGGTGAAACAAATTAACTTGTTCAAATCATTTCGTGATCCAAATATCGATTCGACAAAAAAACAATATTTGATTACGCGGATCTACTTGATGTTACTAGCAGGTGCAATATTAACTCTTCTTCTGTTCACTTCTTTGAGTACTCATGTCACTACAATGCCTGTACCGAACCCATCAGCAGCTGTGTATAGGAATTTACACGAGAGTCATCAAGATACGTTGAAATGTCCTTGTTCCACTACAACAGTACCGTATCGAACGTTTATTTCCCTGTCTCCAAGTTTCCATCAAGTATGCTCAAGTGACTTCGTTAGTGACGCGTGGATAACACTTCTCAGCCTTGTTCGTTCTGGGTCATATGATGATTGGCTTACTCGAGCTGTTCATCAATTCCGATTATTGTCAACCGTTTGCAATTTAGTTAATACGACAATCTTTGGTGCGGTTCAACGTCTTATCACTCGTTCACTAGTTACATTTAATGTTCTCACTGAGAACGATTTCAATACTCAATTGAACACGACCGTCAATCAATTTATTCAATCGACAGTTATCAACTTTGGTCTTCTCTTAGATACCGTACACCTTTCACTGCGGACTGATCAACCTTTCAAAGTACCATATTACTTGAATACACTACTATATAGAAAAGTAGATAAACTTTATAATCCAGATTCATGGAAGGTAACTACATATCTTGAAATTATAATGATCAAAAGTAAACTCGTTTTTCTTTCTCGATAGCTTCTATTTTCTCTGACCGGGATGTTTAATGCCACCGGAATATTCAACAACTGCGTATGTGCTATCAATCCCTATTGTCAAAGACAGCATGATTTGTACAGTCGGATAACTACATCAAATGATACCCGTATGTATACGATAACTCATACAATGCCAGGTTCGATTGATGGTTGTTATGCTCTCGATTCATTTCTTTTCTCAACTCTGGAATGTTTCTATTCGAATTCAAATTGTCTGTCGACTCTATTAACCTATATGAATATGACATACAATCAGCTAGACACAGAAATACCTTGGTTTAGTCCCACACCTCTTGATTATGATCCATTGTCCAATGATTTCCTTCCTAATTCTTCTTTTTCGGTTATCACAAAAGAAATGATGATTGAACAATGGAATTATACCGCTTCTTTCGATCAGTACTACGAAACATGCGCACCAAACTACTGCACCTATTCGTACACGGCTCGAACATACAACTATATCGGAGTCATTGCTAAAATCATATCGACTATTGGCGGTCTCGTCATTGCTTTGAGATTGATCACACCTCAACTGGTGACTTTTCTCTATCGGATCTTCGAACCAAAAATCAAAGCGTCACATGAGAGTAAATTTCACAAATACATATACACTTCTAGAGATATTGTTTTTTCCTCATATAGATCAAATGTCATTCTTCACACGGATGAAAATATTATTGCAAAGTTTTCTGAAATCGCTTTATACGGAACTAGTCAATCTGACGATATTCCCATCGTATAATTTTGGGCATGTCGAGAGTCAGAAGAAAGCAAAAAGATTGAACCAATGGGCTAGTCGTCTGTACGTTTTGGTACTGATCATTGGAATTGGAATTCTCAGTCTTCAAACTCTTATTCAACCGGAAACTTTAACAAAGACTTTCGCAAGGCCGTCTCTTGAAATGTACACACACCTTTTGCAAGAGCATGGTGATTTAGTTCACTGTCCTTGTTCGATAACATCATCAACCTATGGTAAATACATCAAAATTGAACCCATTTTTCATCAGGTAAAAAAGATAGAGTGTCAGTTTTGCAAATGATTAAACTACTTGGTGATTTCTTTATTTCCAGATCTGTTCAAGTGAGTTTGTTTCAGAAGAGTGGCGTATGAACACTACAGCTGGTCTTATTTCCAATCTGTTCGATTATGATCGGCGAGATTATCGTCGTTTCCTGTCCGCTCACTTACACTACCTTGCTGGGCTATGTTATCTTTCTAATCAAGCAGTCAATGCTTTTATTCAACAAATTCTTTCCTCCTTATTTGTCACTATTCAACTTCTACCGAAATTAGTTTTAAATACACAAATTGAAGCGCTTATCGAACAAAACGAATCCAATGTTCCCGCAGTACTCCTTCGCCTTATTTCTCTTTATCGAAATATCAATCATGCTAATGCTATCGTATCGGCCTATGGAACAAATTATGACTACCTCTTGCCGGATAGATTTGGAAGTAGAATCATTGCTAATGTCATGCGAACTCAGGGAATTGTTTATGATGAGAATTGTTCGTGCGATATGAATGCAAGTTGTACTATTCCAGCGAATTTGATACAACGAAACTCATCTGAAATTATTCCTATTCAAGGACTTCGGATGGGCTGTACGCCAAGTGAATCGTTTTTGGCATCGACGCTTGAGTGTTTCTATAACTCATCATGTATCAATCTCATCTATAAATATATCAATTACTCAAGCAATGCTAATTATACAAACGTTCTCAAGTCTCCTTCGATGAATGCAACTGTCAGCGATCTGATTAGTAATCTTTTCATCGATGATTGGTCCCTGACAATCAATTACTCGCTATATTTTAATCAATGTTTACCTACCGTGTGTTCATACACTTATGTGCAGAAGTTAAATTCGCTTTACACAATTACGCGTCTCCTTGGTCTCTGTGGTGGTCTTACTGTTGTTCTCAAATGGATTTGTCCAATCTTGACTTGTTTACTTGCGAAAATCTTTGAACGTCGGAAGAAAAGAATCAAACGCATTTCACCGATTTATTTTATTCCTAGTGGAGATAATCAAATGACAGCAGACATTCACCACATCACACACGATTGTTTATTGCAACGGCATACAATAATTTTTGGCATCGGTTTTCTCGTACTATTAATAACAATCATTACAATTCCAACTGTTTATTTGATTCAACGGGAGAAGAATGCCTCTCTATCAACAGGTGTGGTACACTTCGAAAAGTCTATTCTTAGTATTCTTTTCATTCCTAGTCTCTATGATGAAAACGACTACACTGCCAACATACGAAAACATTTCAAGAACAACATCGTTTGTCGCAAAAGGTTTGTTAAGGATTTCCACACGAGTTTAGCTCATTGAAGTGTTTTCTCTAGAAACAGAATGTCAGTTAGCATTCGAATCGCGTATTATCTTCTCGCAAAAATCCTCCGTTTGGCTGTATTTTTTTGATATTGGTGATTTCAATGAAGATAGTTATTTAGATCTCGTTGTCCTTACTGCTTTCAATAACAACATAACCATACTACCAAACAATGGAAATGAAACGTTTGGAGCAAGCTTAAACATTTTGAATATAACTGCACTTTATGGAACGTACATTGTTGTAGCGGATGTTAATAATGATAGTCGATTAGATCTAGTTACTTCCAACTCATATACAAGTACTCTACAAGTCCTACTAGGCACAGGTAATGGATCATTTGAGCAATGTTCACTAGTTTCGCTTGCGCCGTCTAATCAATCGATGTCGATGACTGCAGCTGATTTCAATGATGACGGTCGATTGGACCTAATCAGTTCGAACTATATGACATCATACTTAGGTATCGTGTTTGGTGTTGACAACGGAACGTTCGAAAATCGAATGACATTATCAACTGGAAATAGCAGCGGTCTATCGTCAATTATCGTCGGAGATTTAAATAATGACCATTATCTGGACTTTGTTGCTGTGGATGCAATTCAGAACAATCTAAAACTATTTCTTGGCAATGGCGATGGTACATTTCAAAATCAAACAACTATATTGATGGAATATAACAGCTATTTAGGATCGCTTGTAGCTGCTGATTTCAATAATGATAATTGCTTAGACATTGTTATTCTTGATATACTAAATCGTAGATTAAACGTCTTTCTAGGCTATGGAAATGCAAGTTTTAAGTCAATGCTATCGTTTACAACAGGACACTATAATACTCCAAGATCACTAGTTGCTGCAGATTTTAATGGTGATCGATATTTAGATGTGGCTTTTGCCAATGATTTCACTGGCGACATAGGAATCATGCTTGGTAACGGTAACGGAACTTTCAAAGCACAAACACGCTACTCAGTTGGAAATAGCAGTACGCCGGAACTGTTGAAGACTGGTGATTTCAACAACGATGGGCGATTAGATATGGCCGTAGGTACTTTTGCATCGGCAGAATTGATCATTCTTTGGAATACTTGTGAATGCTGTTAATGGTTACTATTTTTCGAGGTTGGATGTAAACGTTAGTTTTTGTCTTAATTTTATTTTTAGTTGACGTCTTTCGAAAAAGATTCGAGTATTCGGTGTTATAACCAATGAAAAAATAAAAACGATATATTTCTTCGTGAGTCAGTTGATAAAGCGTAAGTAGAACTCAGAGCTTGCCTTTGTTGAAAACATAATTGTATTCTTCTATTGCTTTGTTTTCAACGCTTGATTGATCTTTGTCGAAGGCAAATCCATTCGCTTTCATATATTCTAACGTTTCACTGGCACTATTCGCGTTCTTGTAAAGAATATTAGAATTATTTCGCTTTTCGTCATCTAATTGAATCTCAATAATTACTTTGTCGATTCTTTTCAATTGTTTTCCAGCACTTTTAACGACGTCTAAATCTACACCTTGTGCATCAACTTTGAGTAGTTCGATGCTCAAACGAGGATCAATAATTGACAATATTGTTTCTAAACGTAATGTTGAGACACCTGTTATTTTAGTTACTTTCGTGCAGGGTCGAAACCATTCATAAATTGCCAATTTCCTGTCGATATTCGCATTCGGTTCGAGAAGACTACTGCAACCGCTACCTTGATATTCATAAAAGGCTCGCGTTCCTTCAGTTGGAAATACGGCAGCGATGATTGGAATCAATCTTGGAATCTTCGACAATGAACTGTAAAAGTCAATATTTGGATCGATGGCGATCACGAATAGATCATTTGATTGTTGAAATTCTTGAGTCAACGTCATCGGTGATCGATGTGGCCAATAAACTCTTTGGCAAATACTACAATCGCCTAAAAACGAGTCCTTGCTCGATCCAATATCGATCCATACACGTTTGACTATATCTGGCATCGAAATGTATCCGTCAGAATTGAGGTCAACCATGTGTTTTTGTACCATCGTCACAAATTCCTTTTGTTTCTGACCATTCATAATAATACCACCACTATATCCCGAACTGGCAGCGATAGTTGAATCCAGGTGTTTAGAAGAGCAAATTTCTTGTCGACGGTGAAAGAAGAGAAAAATATTGAAAATACTAAGGATGAAAATAATATACATAGCTGTCATTGGCGGACACTTCATTTCAGGTTGTGTTCATTCAAATACCGCGCATACTAATTAAGTAACGTTATATTAACTTCGATCACTGCTGGTCGATTGAAAGTCTAGTATTGCTACGTATAAATCGTTTGACTTATTCCACAAAGCGTTAAGTCCCAAATACTTAGCAGCTTAATAGACGAATGTCTAAATTTGAAAAGGTGCGAATATTATGCTCCTAAGTTTCTCGACTCGATTACTATGAACTATATATAATCAAACAAATCAATATGCATTACATTTGATTCATTTCGAATAGTTACTGTACACTTTTGGAATTATTTTCTCAACAAAAGTAACGATCGAAACTTACCAATTGACAAACTGAAGTTTAATTGAACGAAGACACTTAGCCTTGACCTTGAGAAAAATATCTCATCACTATTGCAAACAAATCAATGATCAGTTTTTTTACTTGACGACAACAAAACAAGCAGGATTAATCTCACAGTTCTCTACCGTTCTTTTTTCTATTCATACCAAAATTGCGGTAGGCAGTTAACACGAAGAGCACGTTTTAAGACGTTAAAAGAATTCTTTTCAGTAAATATTGTGATGTATGACGCCATTGAAATAGATATTTATTGGCTGGAAATCGAACAGGAGAGTTAATAAAAAAACTACTGACAACATTATTTTTCATCTTCTTTTTTGTTCATTTCGCATCATTTTCATATAGTTCAAAATTGATGGATAAGTCAAATCTTCACACCACTGTTCATTTCTTAATCTTTGTCGAATTTCTGTGGAACTAATTCCACTCAATACTTCACTTTGATTATCAGCACTGTCATTTCGAATGTAAAACAGTTTCTCACAAGGGACACATTGCATCGATTCGACGAGCTTCTCCTGTACACCGGATCGATACACAACAGCAACACCATTCCACGGCGATTGCTGCATCACTCTCATGCCATGACAATCATTGAAAAGATCAAGACCAGTTACAAAGATGACACGAATCGGCCTTTCTGACTTGAGCATTTCGTTTATGAATGTTTGTAGATCAAGTGTGACCTTCGAGATAGACATTATATGTGAGGCTAAACGAACAGGACATACGTAGTCGAACAGATAGATGTGAAGATGAAATTCGTCTTACCCATGATTTCGGCTTTGTCAACACTGAGCCAATGTTGTTGATTTGCTTCCTTTATCGCTTCTTCACACATGCGAACGCGATGATGCCCAACAATGAACTCTTCGTCTAGTTTAGCTTGGACATATTCGTCATGACTAGGTGATAGATATCCACCGATAACACGAAAATCATGTATACGTTCTAGATATTCTTTAGCTTTGATCATGTTGAATAGATGAGCACGGTGAATAGGATTGAAAGCACCTGTTTTGAACAAAACGACATTTTCCTTGTGATTATTGCCGGTAATATCGTGTAAATTTTGATATAGATTAGAAAGATCTGTAGTGACTGTTGAATGCATATGTTGATTAAGAATACGATGAGATTGTGTGTTCTTTTCGCTGCAAAGAATATAATTCCGCGAACTTTTCGTTCTCTACACGTCGCTTTATTTACTGAGTCATGGTGACTCAACGCGGGAAAGAATTATGTAAATGTGTATGCTTTGTCAATTCTGACGCATTGCTTCCTCCAAAATAGAGTGAAGGATTAAAAACATGAGTATATTACTGTATCAATATTCTTATGATCTTCTTGAATACATTCTGTCAGAGTACAAAAAAACTTAGGAACAGACAGTGGAAATAAAGAGTTTTTTCTTATTGATAGATAGTTAAATCGTCATTGCAATACATGCGTCGGCTTTGGGTCTCGATCGAGAATCCTATGCGATCAGTAGTAGTTTATCTACTTTTTCGTTTGACAAATTAGTTTTCTTTCTTGTCATAACGCGACGTGCATCTCAAGCCTGTACAGCATGACAACGATAATATTGTTTTTTTTCCAATTAAATGCAACAGTTTTAGTTCCTCAAATAGTCATTATAAAAGGGTTTAAAACAAAACTTACAAACGGAAAGAACGTTCGGACCCTTCACGCTACTTTTTTTAGCTTATCATGAAACTATCCACGAACTCAATATAGTGTGAAAGCTGTCTTTGACAGGGATGTAAAACTCAGTATATCGCAACAAAAAATGGAATCTTTTTGCCATAGTATAGATCTATATCTTTCCAAAACAATTTCCCAGGACGACGGTTCCTGAAGCAGGATTCCATGAGTTTCCGACAAAATCCCTAAGAAAACTCGCCATTTCTAAGCGGAATCCGCCCGGAAAATGCCAGGAACCCGATGGAGAAATTCGGTAACCGTGTCCGGCTACCGGTTTTGGCATGTTCCTGTCGGATTCGGCCCAAACCAGATAAATCCGACCACCGGATCCGCTCATCAGGAATACCACGGAACCGGTCGTTTCCGTGCCGGATTGTTCGTAAAAATCCAAATCCTTAAGACATCTATTGATGCCGCTCTCTATCTCTATACGCTGTATTCCACATAGAAAAATTCCTTCATCACATGAATCGTCAACTGATTTTGACTGATCAGTACCATGCTCTTCCGACAGTAAATAAGTTTATATCAAAAGCAGAATTTCCAGAAGGACATAACACTTATTTTATTGGTCATCCCAGGTTATTATGGCACGGTCAGTTCCGGCCGGTTAGGTTCGTTTTCTGACCATTTCCTTGCCGCCGGATTCCGGCCGGAAGTTGAAATGTAGGTTCCAGTCATCTCCCGACGGTTTCCTGCAAACTTCGAGCTGGAATCGAGAAGAGCTGTACCTGAACCGACTCAGATTTCAACGGATCCAGTCGCCGGAATGATAGACCTGGTTCACTCTATATTTCATGAAAAACTTGTACACAAACATAAATACCGATCGAATACCATCAGAATAACATTAACATTTCAGGCCGCCTCCACAAATCTTCGTGAGATGACGTAGTATTTCATAGTAGATTCCAATCTCGGAAAAATGTTATTTAATGAGTGTCTGTCAACGACACATAGAGAAGACATGAGTAGGTTCTATTTTGTGTCGTAAATTCTTGTTTCTTCTTTCTTTCACTGTGTGATGTTGTGGCTTGGCTTGTGTCGGTTGTTTGTTTCGAGGTAGTTTTGTGTACTGTCTCTTCATCGTTTGTGTCCGAGTCGCAGGCAGCTCTTGTCTTGTCTCGGCTTTTTTGGTTCTAAGGCTAAATGTTGTTTCCATTTGCGTGATATTTTGTTGCAGTATCTTGAATAATTAGTTTGTGGTTTCTTCAATGACCTTTTCCATTTTACCACTTAATACATTGGTGATTTCGTCGAATAGCTCGTGATCAAGGAAATCTTGTCGGCGTTGTGATAGAGTCAGTGATGATGGAAATTCGTTGGAGTAGTGTGGCGCTGGTGCTGTTATAGTTTGTTTATGTGTACATACATATTACTCAATCGAATTCAGCACTCTATCTTCTCTTGTTCTATATAAAACGAACATTCTTGGAAGTGGCTAAACGATTACCTTTGCAGTTGGAACATTTGACTGCATCGCTGAATGATATCTTCACTCTTCTGGTTGGAGCCTTGCCATCTTTACCCGCTAATCTACTAACATTCGTTACATCTAAACCGACAGTTTTTAATGCTTCGGATATTCTGTCAGCAAATGATTTATTTCAAGGTGGACTCGTTTTTTTTACGGAAGACACTTTCTCGGTGTCTGTAATTCGTTGAATCGAACAGAAAACAAATATTTTCGCTGATGCGTGACCATTGTCTGCCAGGATTATTATTAGTTCTCTTAACAATACGTTGAACGATTTCACGCCAGCTGAATATAGTGTAAAGATTCCTGTTAGGCTCATTTGAATATCTATTATTCGAACATCATTTAAATACTGTTTCAGGATATCACTCAGTTCAAGTTTGTTGCCTTCAACTTCCTCAAAAATCAGATTGCAATAGCGAATTTTGGTTGGGTCGTTCTATTAGCTATTGAACTCCTACCTGTAACGACAAACTGGTTGAGTAGTTGACCGCTTCTCACGGTATCGATGTTTATTGACTACTCTACATGACCAGAATGTATCTCTTTCACAATAAGACACGCGCTTATATAGAGAAGAGGA